GGTGTTCGTAGCGGCCGGAGAGGGGAAAACCGCCACACTGTTTGACGGAGCCGCGCCCAACAGGCCCGACCCATTGATGGAGAAACCGGCTGCGATTACTTGGGGCTGTTCAGTGCTCGCCGTGTGCATCCGCTCCTCGCGAACCAACATGGAAAAAACTTGATTGAGATTGGGGATGGGATCGAGTGCTAAAATATGAGAACGAGTAGTACCATACAAGTGTCCATCAAGACCCATCAAAAACTGATGAACCTTTTCTTCATCCCGTTTTTTATCCCACAAGGTCTGTAGAACACATTCACACTTTCCACAATGGCATAGAAAAGGTTTATCAAAATCCGATAGTTCTTCCCAAATTTTCACCAAACGACCATAATAATTTTCAACAGTACTACCTTGTTGTTTGCACGTAGATAGAGCAATTTTTAATTCTTGAATCCTAGGGCCATTCACGGTAGTATATCGTTCCTTAAGTCCCAACCATAGATCTTGGGCAGAATCGGGTGTAGTGATAGAAGAGCGTACCTGTGGATCAATACTATTCATGATCCAAGAAAGAAGAAGAGAATTGTTAGCCAGTCAGTCTTCAAGAAGGTCATCGTCGGAGTCAGGACGAGGGATGGATCCGTCAAGGAATCCAAATTTCTTTCGTGCACGCAGCGCATTTCGAAAGCTTCGACACCATTCATCATAATTTGTATCACCCTTCAATTGAACATGGGTGATGAGAAGACCCGAGTTATCTGAAGAGGAAAGATCGTATGGAGAGATGGTCTTTCGAGCCACGGTACTTTCACTGGAGTCTTTGGTACTTTCACCGGAGTCTGCCATTAAGGAGCCGCCGAGAAAAGAAGAGCCGCCGAGAGGAGAAAAAATCTGAAGAGAAGAAGAGCCGCCGAGAAAAGAAAAAAAAAAATCTGTCGGAAAAAAAAATTTTAAGGACCCGCTCTTGATACCATGTCAAGACCGTGAAATATTTGGAAGATATAGAAAGATGGCACACCCCATTGTGGTGTCCTCATATTATTATCTCATATATATATACAACAAGGCCTAGGGTAATTACAAGGAATTACTTGTCAAACAAGATACCTAAAACTAGGAAAATATACTATCAAAAATACAATCCCAAATATACCAAATATACCAATATACTAACAATATCAAGTCCAATTTTACTTGGGGCTTCACAACTTATTTAAATTTGATTTAGCTTCAAGTTGATCTCAACCTAATTTTGTTGAATCGACCTTGAACTAACACTGATTAATCCAAAAATCAATCTAAAAGAACTTCCACCTGCAAGAAATTTCAGTTACATCTGCACATGATGAAAAAAAAAATTGTACCCACAAAAGGATTGAAGTACAAAGATCAACAAAAATAGGCCTATCAATGACTAATCAGTTGTAGCTACAAAAACATACTTTAAAAAATGCGCCAACTTCACAGTAATAGTAGTATAGACACCTGAGCCTCTTCCTCTGACCTAGAAATTTATTTATTTATTTATTTATTTTTGTTTCATTTCTTGTACCTTTTACCCATCTGCAGAATTATCCTAGACAGCTTTCCCATTTACAGATACAACAGATTCCTCTTCTTTTTTTTTTTTTTTAATATTTTCCCCCATGCTATGCCAAAAATATCTACACCTTACTGATTTAGTATACCACAACTCGAAGGAGCCCCTGCTGAGGCTCAGTAAAATCGAGACCCTCTTCTTCTAGAAGGTACCTTTGGACAGCAATTGGTAGTCGAGCTGGAGTACGTGAACCTCTCGTGTGGTGACCCGTGCCCACACATATGAAGACAAGCAAGCGTTGGTCAATTGACCTGGCTACATTTCTCATTACGGCTAGCTCACGCTTAAGCACGTGAATGGCTTCACTCACGTGCAGACCATGAAGGTCGATCATTCTTTCTCTCCCATTAGTCTGAATATCTGAATTCCTGCAGACAAGTGAAAAGAAACACCAAACAATGAGACTCAGAAAGTGCCTAGCAATTCTTTGTTTTCATAGTCCTTTGAACATACGCTTCTTATTTGACTTCTCTACACCCACCCCAAAATTCTCGTTTAATCTTATGACCATCTTTAAGCTTCCATTACAAATACAATGATCTTATTCTCGGCTAGTTTTCGCGTTTGCTACAATCACTTATCTAGAAAGAATAGGCGTTTTTGCAAAGACACCATTAAAAAATGGCGAAAATGGCAGATGATTTAAAAGGCAAGCAGAAAATTTTGTAATATGGATTCAAATAATATAATCAATCAAGATTTCTTCTTTTTACAATTCAATTTTCAACAAATTGAGTAAGGTAGGTTGTTTTTTCTCAACAAGTAAGTAAAACTTATGCTTCCTCATGGTACCACAAACAACTAACCTCTGACGATATATAGTTTCATGTGCCTTCACATGAGCTGCTTTCATCTGCATGTTGTGCAACTGCCCTTTAATGCTCAACTCCTTGGCTAAGGCCTTGTTACCAATAAGGTATGCTTGTCGCGCCTAATCTCTCATGGACATTTCAGACACCATTAGAAAAGGAAAGCAGAACATTCTTTACCAATTTATATACAAGTTCAAAGGAAAACAGATAAATAAAATACAAACTCCTTTGGTTGCATGAGCATGTTATTTCATAAACTCAAACTAAATACAAATGCAATCCATTCATGTTCCCTTATAAATATCACAGTAGCAATGAATAGGTGAAAGAAATGTAAAGTAAAACCTGTTATCACACCAGCTTTAAACAGTAAACACACACAAAATTGCCCGCACACACATAGAGAGACAGAGAAAAGAAAGAGTGGACTTCTCTCCAAATACAAAAGAAAAAATTGTTATTATTTCGTTGTCACTGCGTTTTACATTACATCCATCTTCTACCCCTCTGCGTATTCTAAATAGATAACATACCTGTTCAAAGTACACATTAGGCACGCGCGCATGATCACGAGCTTCCTCCCGCATTTCAGAATACATATTAGCTGCCAGTTCAACAAAGTTAAAGCATATATATACCGGCATAAAACCATTTTCCAAAAAAAGTAGGGCGCAAGGAATCCATTGCCTAAAAATTATCATTACCAACAGATTCTCCCGTTTCAAGCCAGACAGGAGTGTGAGTTGATCCTCGACTTTGATACCGATCACCATAAACACCCTTGTTAGGACCACCATTATACGAGCTTGCCAAAACTTGCGAATATCTACTGGATCCAATGCTTGCACCCGAAGAACAATTTCTTTCATACTTCCATATGTTGGAATCTTGGGACGCCATTTTTCTTACAGCGGAAGCAAAATCTGTGGCGCCTCTCGAGGGGACAAAGGAATTAGATCTGAATAACAGTGTGGAACCACCATTTTGATTGGGACTGTCACCTCTAATTTTTGATATATCATTCTGACCGTCTCTGGAAGAAAGAGCCGGAAAATCCATGGCGCTAAGATTAGGAGTGGACAAGGCTTTTGAGTTGAGACTTTGATTTAAGCCTCCATCGACCTGAAGCTGCAACAAAAAGGAGAAGTTAAAATAACACTATACCCATGTATTACTAAGTGAACACTTACCGCAGGGGAAAAATAGACCATATTAAAAAAATACCCCTCCTTGGAATAGCCAATGGTGTATGAAAGAGAATATCCATTGAAAATTATCCCAACCAAAATTATGCTTTGCCAAGCACACTCAATAACAATAAAGAAAGTACATATTAGACTTAGAATTAATATTGCAAGTCTCTATTCAATCCCTCGACTGACAAAGGTTAAAATGTTAGTCGGAAGAGCATATAACTATTATCAAACTTCACAGCCACAAATACTGATAGCCTACCTCGAGCTGAGTAAGCATTTCGATAGTTAGATTCAAATCCCCTGCATTAGCAAAATACACCTCTGCAAGACTTTCAGCAGCAAAACCCGGAAACTGTGAAGCCAAAATCTCAAGAGGGTTCACATCTGGATTGTCAGAAAGTACCTGCTCACTCGACACATCACCCAGAAAACCATGTTCCAAATTTCCACCTTCATGTCCTTCTCGAACAAAATGCTGATCATTTCCCGCAATCGACGGGTCGCACAATTTACTGGGTGAAGGATGAAAACCAGTGGGAGATACATATTCTCCATAAGGAGAGAATCTCAGCTTTTCAGCATGACTATTACCATTTATAGGATGAAGGGAAAGGCCTAATGAAGCAGAAAATTTTGAACCTTCATTGATATCAGTCAACGATAAGCTTGAAAATGGTAAGCTACTGACTCCTTGAGTGTTGTCTAAACCCATGACCTTGAAATCGGGAGTTATATCATCGGGAAGCTGATGGCGCCAGTACTGCTGTGCTTCATCATCAGAATTGATTGAAATGGACGACTCTGATCTGTCTAATACGCTTTTCCCCGATGTGAAAGGTGTGGAGTTATCAAACTTTGATAATACCACTGAGCTGCTGATGCTGGCAGTGGCAGAAGGCAACCTGAGGGCAGAAGGGACAAATTCTGTGGCATTGGGATTCAGAGTAGCTTTCGCAGCACTAAGCTTTCCGGGCGATGCTCCTTTTCCAGGCGAGTACATTCTTGTTTTGCTTATTATGTTTCGTACTTGAAATGTAAAGAGAATGGGTACAAAATATTTTTATTGAAAAAGCAAAAAGAATATTTCTGGTGGAGCTGGAGATATAAAACCAAATGCGTCAACCAAGCCCTGCAAATAAATGAAGCCTCCTAAATTAGAAAATTCCATTGTAAATGCTCAGCTTAGCGCAATAATAGTCAACTCTCATAAATGCAAACCCATAAGAAAATAAGAATTGCCGAGGAACCTAGCTAAACAAAGCAACAACTTACAAACAAAGAGATCTCATATAATACCTTCTATAGACACGACAGGCAACAATCAGATCACAACATGCATGGACAAATATTAAAAAGAGAAATTTACAGATCAACATCATCACCATCATGTCATCATCACCTAAAGATTGTACAATCATAGTGCTAAAAATTGCAACATCCGATTATTTCAGACTCGGCTCTCGTTCAAGCAGAACACGAAATGAACCAGTTTTCTAAGTTGATAATTAGGTCAGCTGAATGTTACCATATTTAGAATAACAGCGCCATCATATGGAAAAACAGACTACAGAAGTAAAGAAAGCACGCATAACAAAAGTAAACAAAACCCCAATCTTTCTCATTGCAACACATGATCATCTGCAGACACCAAAAACACAGTAATCGTTGCCAGCAAACATCCATGAACCCACTAAACAAAGAACTGTAACCTGTCAAGGACAAAATTAATAAAAAAATATCTACTAAAATTCCGGAAAAACAACAACAACAACAACACATCAGCGGACCAGAAAAAAAAGTAAAGATCAAGTAAAAACAAGAAGAAACAACCCGCACAGCTTTGAACTTCAATCGCACGACTCATCTCAGTAAATCTCTCATAATCTGAACCACAAATCAGGAAGAAACCAAAAGAAAACACTATTGAAACAGAACAAAAAAGGGTGTAGCAAGATCTGGCTCAAGTGAATATACCTTTGCGCAGCTCAGAAGTGATGCCCAGAGTATCCATGACCACACAAACACGAAGATAAGATTTCAAAAGATTCAAAACAACTAATATTGTACAAATTGATAAAAAGAGAGTGAGTAGGTTATGCGCATCAGAAACTACACAGAGAGTATTGATTGCATTTCTCCTCCTAATATTGGGTTCTTTGGCTTTTGGGGGTGAATGAGAGCTTCTCTTTTTTCTTCTCTGTCTAATCTATCCTATCCATCTCTATCACAGACTTTTCATCTCTCTTCTTCCTTGAGTAGGTTTTTTCTTTTTTCATTTAATTTTCGCCCTTTAAATATATTTTGTTCTTTCTTCCGCTCCTCTGTACGGCCCTTTTTTTTTTCTTTATTAAACATAAATAAAATGACAGTATATTATTTTCTTTCTGTTTTCGAAAATAAAATTATGTTTATTTTTATCATTTTTTCATCATTAGTTCACAAAGAAAAATTTGTCTTAGAAACTAGAAAATAACGACCATTTAGTAATAGCTCAAAAGTGAACCCGTACTAAGAGCTTTAATTTGGTTTGGCTCCGTTGTTAGAGATTAGAGCTCGTGATTCACTTGATAAGCGATACCAAATAAACTAAGCTCGAGTTTATTTAGTTAATAAGTTGAGTTCAATTCCACTCACTAAAACTTGTTAAAGCTCGAAAAAAAATGACATACCCTTTAATAGTCAGCTCATTGAAGCTTGAGGTCAACTTGTTAATATTAACGAGTCGATCTCGAATTCAACTATTGGCTTATTTAATTATGAGCTCGGCTCGCTTTCACTTTAAGCCCAACACCTAAACATTAAACGTTAGTGTGTATGGTTTAACAATGGTCACAACGGTTGATCGACCCTTTTGGTTTCTCTGAGCAACGCAATGAAAGGTTATTTGTGTTTCACATATAAGCTTTATTAATTCGGTTTTAATAAAAGGATGTTGACATTTTCTTGCAGAAGTAAAAGGGCCGGCCAATCTAGGTTAACAATTCCCTGCTCACCGCTCAAAGTCGATGCAGTTAAAATCATCAAGCAGGAATTAAAGAAAAAAAAAAATGTGCTCCACAATAACTGGAAAATTTTCGCAAGTAAATACAATCCAATATCATAAATTAATTATCTTTCATAGCCAAATAACTGGCCTCACAACACATATAATTTCAAAAAGGCTGTCCTGTTTACAGTATCAGTACAATCAACAAGCCTGGGACACAGGGAAAAGAGTGTTATCCCATTCAAAATTCAAGACTAGTAGCACGACCCCTATATAATTTCTGAGCATCTATTGTCAGCACTAGAATAGAATAATGACTCCAAAAAATGTGCACACGAAAAAAACGGAACAACTCAACTGCTATCGCTGGTCACCAATTTTCAATAAAACTAGTTCGCTCTGCTCTTGCTGCTGGTCTCTGGGCTTCAAATTCTTTGGCATAAATCTTCTTAAACTTTCAGGTAACCTGGAAGTACACAAGAAAATAGCATTCCTCAAGAAAAATGAACATGCGTTGATGAGAGAGACCTATACACCGAAACAGGTTGCACAGATTTGTAGAAGAAAAAATCATCAGCTAAACTGATAGCTGGTAAGCTGATAATTACAACTAAGAGATTTGCAGTTTTAGACTACTTACAGGTTTATTCGGTACTAAGTCAAATATCAACAGTAAGTTGCATGTGTAAAACCAACCAATTATATATCCCATGTGATTGAATCAGGCACTAGAAAAAGTTGGTAGTTGTTGATCCAGCGTTTAATATGGCAAAAATTGGTTTGAGAAGTAAAACAAAAAAAACACCGTAAAGATAAATGTTTAACATACAGATCAAATCTTTCATAAATTGCCCTCCGCACTGATGAGTTGAGACCATATGCTATCGAGTTGAAGAGGCCCTAAAACAAGAACAGGAAGTGCAAAGCTTCAAAATTCAGCAATAAGGCATCATTAGACATTCAAAACAAGAGCCCTTTAAAAACTAATACAGACTCACCATAAGTGCAGCCATGCCAACATCAAGAACAGAAAGCCAAAAGATCTTATGACCAGGTTCGATGAAGTCATGTATACGGTTGATTGTGCCAAAAAACCATGATCCAATTAGAATAAGTGGATAGTAACCCCATCGGTTTAGAGCCTGAGAAAAGGATAGTATAAAATGAACAGACGAAACAAAGAATTGACGGAAATATATAATCCCTTGTCCGTAAAGCAAGAATAAGCCAGTAGACCCTACAAAGCTGTTCAAGAGTTTGACGTATTAGAATAACAATGGCAAACAAACTTAGTCTTCCTATATTTTAGACACAATATGAACATAATCTACCCTCATATCTGGCCGTGCATCTGATTGATGTGCCCTATCAGACATTCCTACAGCCATCTGTAGAAACAGATTTTGCAATATTAAGCGTCAGAAAAGAAGAAGAAAAAAAAGAAAAAAGAAACAAAAAGACAGATTACATACACGAGTAGCGTTGTTCAACATGCGAATCACTTGAAAATAGGTAATGCCATTGAACAAAATTGCGCCCCACAGAGGTGCATAAAATGTAATAAAATGAACCACCTGAAGGAATATAGATGAGAATCATAAATGTATAAATTAAAAAGAGAGAAATATTACATATCATCTTAAACCTAGTGACTGATTGAGACAACATAGGCGGAGTTGAACTCTTGATAAATGATTAAGAATAAGACATGTGAATTATGCTATCTTATATTATCACCGAAACTTTCATGTATTTAACAATTGCTACACAAACATATACAGTGAGGAGCATACATTTATTGAATTTTAGCAGCATGCCATGTTTTGCTTTCAGCATCTATCAAAAATTTGACTTTAGGTTCACAAAGGAGTCGGCAGAGAAAAAGAAAACAAAAAACCTACTAAAACATTAAGCACTCTCCAGGTACAATTTCATCAACTGGCCCAATTACCTTGTCCAACTCGGCAGAAAGCATGATAATATAAGTCAACTTCCCAAGAAGTCATTTTTCATGGCACTAGAGGTGTGAAAAAAAATAATAATCATAACAACAATAGTGGATGGACGGATGGACGATTTTACAGGAGGGATGACTTGAAATTTACCCTAATCCATGGACACAATTACAACTAACTCACACTACCACAGGGGCCAATAGAAAGTACCAGTCAATAATAGCAAGGTACAATATCAAGATCGTCTAATTTCACGATGTCAGCAATAATACAATTTATATACTTGCCTTTCCTGTGCGTCCTGTTTGTGCCCAACACCATGCTCCTAAACGGCTTATATGACCATGATCATTGCCAATGGAGCGAATTACTGTCATAACAACTGAAGTCCCTGCAAGAGTGTTTAAATAATAGATTAGGAAGACAAAAAAGGGAAGTTAAGGATCTCCAAAAATAGAGTAACAGACAGGAAATATTTTACATAAAAGAATAAGCATACCCCAAACATACAGATGAAAGATTGGCTCTAAATCCTCCACATCAGTTTTATGTCTAACAACTGTTCTGTGTAAAGTGAAAGCGATTGTCGTTGTCCATAGAAAAGAAGCAACACAAAAGAAATGTGTTGTGTAACCCTGAGCATAACAAAAGTATCCTTTAGAAGGATCCCTGCATATAACACATTCATTTTAGAGGTAAAAAATTGGCTGATGCAATTCCCATTGTTCAAAGAGAGTGCCTGGTTTCATCTGATTCTCATTGTAGGCAAGTGCATACCCAATGATGCTGAAGAAACTGCAGAACATATCCTGCAACAGACATGGAAACTTTATTTCACATTCTTCACTTTAAGAACAAGAAACTCTCCAGGAAGAATCCAAAAACATAGTACTTTAAAGAACTTCTGCTGAAGTAGTTAAGATCAAAATATATCAGCATTAGGACGTCCAAAAGCCACGAAACTATTTCTTAAAGTCAAGCAATAAGATCAAAATGATTAATAAGGACATTTCAGCCTTTAGACATCCACAAGATAATGCCAGCACGAGCACAGAAAGTATTTCAGTTCCAGCAAGATTGCAACACATAATTTCCTTTTTCGGCAGAACAAACACACATTACTCATTCAAGATTAGTAATGTGTACTTAGGAAATCAAATAAACGCCAAACGGAAATCAAAGCATTCAATGCCACAGGTACTTGGGAAACGATTTACGCACTGCACAAGGATTCAAGCTACAGAAATGCAAAGCAAAATGATGTTGCATCATCAATGTCTCAAACCAGTAGCCAACTAACCACAAACTTCACCACAACAGCAGGATCATTGTCTATTCAGTTTACACTGCTTCTCGACCTAACCTAACTTGTCTGGGAAGAAAATAAAGCTACAAAAATACAAAAGAACAAAAACTAAGATAAAAGGGGAAAAAAGTGTGTGCCAATACTTACAGAGAGAGCGAGGAAGAAGACAAGCTTGAAGGAGAACTTGCGGAGGTCTTTGAAGAGTAAGTAGCAGAGGACTATGAAAGCAGAACCCACAAGCGAGAAGCTGGAAGCACCAGTGTTGATGGCGGCCAGAACCCCTCTTTCCGCCGCCGTTAAGCTCCCCACAACCGCCTGCCCCGTCGCCATTTTTCCTGAAGAAAACCAGTTATTTCCAGAAAAATATGGTTTCCAGCCGTCGAAGAGACTCCATTTCTGAGCACAACTTTGCGATCTGAGGCTATGTATCGGTTACTATAATTTTTAAATGACCTTAAT